AGGGACAGACCCCTGGGTGGAGGGAAGGGACAGACCCCTGGGTGGAGGGAAGGGACAGACCCCTGGGTGGAGGGAAGGGACAGACCCCTGGGTGGAGGGAAGGAACAGACCCTGGGTGGAGAGATGGGACACACCCCTGCTGACTCACGGACTTCACTCATTTCATTTGCCCCTCTTAACCCCACCCCCCCCCCCCCGACAAAGACCCTATGTGCCACCCTTAGTGAATATGTGTGTTCCTGAATGACTTGTTTCAAAACATAACTCCAAAATATCAGCAATACAATTCATCTATCAGTCTAGGGCAATGGTTCTCACCCTGTGGGTCTTGACTCCTGGGAATCAAATAACCCTTTCACAGGGGTCATGTATCATGTATCTTGTATATCAGTTATATACAACTCGTAACAGTAGTAAAATTACTGTTATGAAGTAGCAACAAAATAATTTTATGTTTGGCAGTCACCACAATATGAGGAACTGTATTAAAGGATTGAAGCATTAGGAAGGTTGAGAACTTCTGGTCTAGGGTGAACATGCATCAAAGAAATGTTATTTAACAGAAGGATGCAGGTACATATGTCCAATAATACAAAAACACAGTTCAGAGGATAGGCACCAGACTAGTTCATATATTCTACAGCATAGAACTAACCTCTGAGATTTTTCCATAAAGCTTTTGGATTCACTTGGCAGTGCTCAGAAAGCTAGGCAAAGTTGCTAGGAATTGGGTGAGCCTTTTCACTGGACGTGACAGATTATTTGGTTGGACTCTGGATGAATCCATGGTTCTCTAAACTATTTCCAATCTCTGAGTAATGAGCCCATGGGTCTTTTTGTTTTGTTTTGTTTTTCAAGACAGTTTCTTTGTGTAGCCCCCTAGCTGTCCTGGAACTAGCTCTGTCGACCAGGCTGGCTTTGAACTCTCAGAGATCCACCTGCCTCTGCCTCCTGAGTGCTGGGATTGAAGGTGTGCACCATCAACGCCCTGCAAGCCCATGGGTCTTTGAGTATCATTTTTGCAATAATTTCTCTTCTAGGTGAAGATCCCGGATCTGTTTTCTGGTATAGAGATTGTCCCTGCCCTGCTCCATGGAGACCTCTGGTCTGGAAATGTGGCTGAGGATGACCAGGGACCCATTATTTATGATCCAGCTTCCTTCTATGGTCATTCTGAGTTTGAACTGGCAATTGCATTGATGTTTGGGGGGTTCCCCAGATCCTTCTTCACTGCTTACCACCAGAAGATCCCAAAGGCTCCGGGGTTTGACAAGCGTCTAATGCTGTACCAGCTCTTTAACTACCTAAACCATTGGAACCATTTCGGTAGGGAGTATAGAAGTCCTTCCCTGGGAATGATGAGGAAGTTGCTCAGGTAGCAGAGGGCTGGTATCTAACAGAAAGTCACTTTGGGTCCTTAACTGAACTAATTTTGAGCTGGCCTCCATCAAGTTCATCAAGAGGCTGGAGGCTGTGGCAGTGCTGACACTTGAGGGAGCTATGTATGTAGCTCAGGCTGATAACACCACAGCATCACTGTTCATGGCAAGTTCCCACCTCAGCAGCTGCAGCCCCAAATACCACAGTTGGGAAGGGAAGGAAGGCCCACCCTCCCATGGTGTTAGTAGTCAGGCATCTGTACTGGCCTGTCCTTGGGGTTCTGACAGGATACGCCCTCAGGTGCAGCCACTAAGCACCACCTGTGCACATTCACTAAGTTCCTTTAAAAAGGGCCCTGCCCACCTCCCATCCTCTTTCTCTCCCTCCCTCTTTCTCTTCCACCACTCTGTCCTCCCCTCTGCCTCTTCGAATAAACCTCCCATGTGAGTCCTGTTGTGTGGAGTGACTTCTCTTCGTGGTGCTTTTAAAATCGCAACACATGGCTCTGGCCATTCAGTTGCAATCGCCACCAGACCCTCTCTAGCACCTCACTTTTTTATTTTTTATACATATTTTGTGTGTATGTGTGTTCAAATGTGTGTGTATAGGTTATAAGATGTGTGGTTTTCTTCTTCCACCATAGGGGAACCAAACTTGTTGGTTATTCACAACATATCTGAGAAGACTGCTCTGACATGGATTTAAGCCAACAGAAAGTCTTTATTAGTGACTATAGTGGGTGTTTGGGATCCCAGTGTAGCATTGTGTCTTTCTCAGGGTGAGATTTTAAGCACAAAAACATATCCTGGGTTGACATATTTCAATTAACAAGAACAATCAGTCAAAAGTGGAACTACAGAAGCCCAAAAGCAAGATTAGTACAATTTGGAGACTTTCCTGGAACTGTGGATTTTGATGGATTAGGTATTTGTTTTCAGTTCGGCTGGTGGGTGCTGTCTACATGCTGAGTTTTATAGCCTGAAAGAATGGAGCTTCCATCTTGGAATCAGTTGTGCTAAGGTGTGTGTGTGTGTGTGTGTGTGTGTGTGTGTGTGTGTGCTACGAAAGTTTGGGGCTCTGTTACACACTCAAGTCCTGAGACTTAGTGCAGGAGACTTTACCCACCAAGCTATCTCATCGCTCCAGCACCCCACTTTCTAGTGAGGTGTGTTATGTTGGTGAGCGCAGGGCCAGCAGTGTGCTGCCCACATCTCTTGTCCGGGCTGCTTTGGGTGGCCAGCAAACCCCCATTGCCTCCTACACGCTTACCGTCACCCCTGCAGGAGCTCAGACAAGGTCACCACATTCTCACCCCAAAACTCG